GAGCAGGAGCCACCGCAGGTAGCCTAGCTAGTACCTGTGCTAACATCCCAAGCACAGCCTCTAACCCCACTGGTGCTACATTCGCAGCAACCCCAGCTGCATCCGCAGCATTCTTAGCCACGTTCTCAGCATCCGCAGCATTCCTTGCTGCTTCCACGGCTGCCACTCTAGCCGCCTCATTTGCAACCGCAGCTGCCTGTCTCTCGGCTTCCCTAGCCCTCTCAGCAACATCACCGTTGACTGAGTTCACAGACCCCGCAGCCTGGTTATCCCCATTGTTTCTCACAGTTCTTCTGGTATTAACCATTTGCAAGTACACAATGCCAGTTAGCCGAAGCTAACTCAATACATGTTTCACAACACCACACACAACTTACCGCGAGACCTTGGCAGTGAAGAATGGATCGGACCCCCTTAAACCCCAAACAATAAAACAAACAACAGCAGTCACCAATTTCCAGTCCTAGAAGCGTTAAAACGCTCTGATACCAACTTGTGGTAACCAAACCCGGTAAACCGTACTGCGGCTGTGTCCCACTACATCCTCTAAGTCCAATTCTATACTTAGCCATATTTTTGAACTTTTTCTTTTTATTTGCAAGTCATTCTTATCATTACACAGCGGAATATAAATAACTCATTTCATTCATTTAACTCTTAAAAACACTTAAACAGATTCGGGGTTCCACATAAGTCAAATCACAAGGTTCACTAACGATTACAACCAATCATCTAGCAACCTGAACGGTTAAACACCAAAGCCATAAGACCCTAACACAAGTCTTAAATCATAAAACACACAACCCCGATCCATCCATGTCCATCACTGCCGCCTGGTCTCGCCCCTTTACTGCTTAGTACCTGCACACTCAAGATGAGAGGCATAAGTATTTCATAAATACTTAGTGAGTACGGTCATCCCGTAACACCTGGTCAGTACCAAAACACACAGCAATACTTTCGGATTCAACATTCAACACAATCAATTCGCAATAAACAACACAATATCACACGGCCATGATCATCTAGCCTAACCAACCAAGATCAATCCCTTTTTAAGACCCATGTCTACTTCAGCGAGAATCCCACATCCCCTAAGCTAGTACATGATCTGGATTACCCTGAGGTTAGCTAAACATCATATATGCCTTGGTAAACACCAAAATATCTCATATCATAAGGATTGCTTATCAATTCCAAACACACAACATGAAAATCACACAATCACATGCAAAAACATTCAACCCTAGCAATCCTACGGTTCTAGACCTAACCACAGTCACACACTCTCCTTAGACAAGGCCGGAAACAGATTGGTCAGAAGAAATCCCGATGAAAACCGCACCAAAACGAAGATATCCGATCTCCCTAAGAATCTCTCGGTTCACAGTACGATCCGATCCTTATCCCCTCGGCTATCTCTTGATCCGTTCACCTTTCTTCGAGCCAAACTCTGTTTTCCCTCAGAAACCCCACAAAACAAGGCTATTAGCTCGAGGTTATCCGATGAAAACTCAACACTTAGGGAAATATCCGATCGCTTACCAGTTTATCTCGGCGATGGTCGGATTTGCTCGGCGATAACCTGATCTCTCTCGGATGTCCTCGGGATAAACTGTTTTTCTTAGGGTTTTCTCTTGACTAAACTCTCTCTTTGCTTTATTTAGCTCAAATAAACGCAACACCCTCGAGTTAAGTCTCAAATTCCCTTATATACTCGCAAAACCCTAGGTAACCCGGACTTATCCGACGTTTTCCCGGTTCCAGTAAGCTTTATCCCGGTCCGATTCGATTCTCTCGGCTATTCCCTGTACCGGCTCGACCCATCCTTCGATAAACCCCAAAATAGCCGACCAAACACTTGGCCCACAGCCCAAATCCCTTCCCACTCAGATAAACCGCCCTTATCCGAAGTGTTTTCCATTTTTCACCCGGATATTCATATTTCTCCCGGATATTCATATTTCTCCCGGACAACTTGTCCCACCTCGGCTAATCCTCTATTTCTCTCGGAGGTTTCCTATTCCCCCTCGGAGACAGTCCACTGACACTCGGACTAACCTCCCAGACTCTCGGATAAATCCTATTTTCCTTAGGATAATCCCACTTTTCCTCGGACTGGACCCCATTTCCCTCGGATATGGTCCATCCGGCTCGGCTATCCAGCCCATGTCCGACTATTTCACCGGTCATCACCCGACCATAGTCCGAACCTCCATTTCCCAGCCAATATCCGACCCTTGGCTCGATCATTCCTCGGATAACCCTCTGTCTGGTACGATCAGTCCGCATTTTCTCGGATACGGATGCTACATATTCAATATCTAAAATTCTAACTTATATATAATCAATTTTCAAAGATATTAACAAAAAATTAGCGAAGATACAAACCCAAGATAAGATTCTAATTATATATAATTACAATTTACAAAATTCATAAAAGTTGTATGTACGTGTTAACTTTCTCTAAGATAAGATTTTATGTAATCATTTAAACACTAATAATAATACATATAGAGATAATTTTAAACGGGTATTCAAGAGTCGAGTAATAATGCAAGTTCGAAGTGGATAATTAAAATTAATTCAACTTTCATGTATTGTGTGATACCTTGTGAGATACAAGTCTATACAAGTCACAATTGCATTCACAATGCATTGATTGTTGTGTCACTACTATGGCAGGTTAACTGCAAAAAACCTCGTTTCGTTAGATATGTATTTTGCGTAAACACATTCATTTAATTTGTTTTTATAGAAATGCCATGTAGTTTAGTAGTTATTCACAAAGAATACTCATTAAGTTATACTTTGGAGTTAGAATGATATATAGTTTCTTTACATGAAAATAAGATTTAGGTTATACTTTGGAGTTATTCTTCTATCGGTTTGTGTATTATTAGAGTTTATTTATGTCTATGCCTCTGTCTTGGTATTTTCTGTATTATTATAGTTTTACCTTTTCGTTGTGATTGTATTTTCAAACAATGTCTCTTTAAGGGAAGAGAGGTGAATAAAGTAGAGTTTTTTTTCTAAAAAAAAAAAAATGATACCAACGAATACATGACACTAATAGTAATAAATACGAAAATATATAAAGGAAAAGTTAATGAAAAAGTGTAACTGTTTATTCAAAAAAAAAAGTGTAACTTTCTGTTAGATAAATATCAGAATAACTGCAAATTTGTTAGCAGAACAAACAGAATTAAATAATTTTTTCTCAAAAATTATAATTTATAATCATACTTTCAATAGTTGTTTCAGAGTTACGAAGAAAAAAAACGAAGAAAAAAAGGTTTAGTCCCTCAGTTACAAAAAAAAAAAAGGTTTAGTCCCAATTTTTATATTTCTTCCAAGCCCGAGTCAGAGAACCCGGATTTTACAATTATATGTCACGGTCTGACGCCCTCTATATATTCTTTACCCCACTTCAATTATTTCCCTCAGGCAAATTCCGTCCTTATCATTTCACGTGAAACACGGACCCATGCAAGATTCTAAATCAGATGTGCACCCCACATTTATTATATATGTGATATGTCCAATGTTACGTTGACGATGAATAATTTTTGAAACATTGATAAACTCTTGTAGGAAAACATTAATAAATCGACGTCGACTGATACAAATACTATATACGTTATTTTTGTTTAAACAAAAAATTAAATCGAATCTAACACTAATCCAAAATTTTGGGAAATATTGTTAGTCCCGAGAGAGATTTAGACTGGAAGGGCATCGTAGTGCAAGAAATTGAGAATCCGGTGAACCAAAATGTGTTTCAAAATTCAAATTTATCAAAACAATCGTCTGATGATCAGGACTAGTTTTTTTTTTTGGTAAAATGTTAAATTTGATCAGGACTAGTTAATATTTCAAAAAGCAAGGATCTTCATTATTTAATTTTAATGCAATTTCGTACAATAGAAAATAGTTTTTATAGTAGTAGTTGTGCAATAAACCTTGTTATATATCGTCACAGACTCACAGTGGTTTGGGTCCAATAATGGATCATAACGTTAGAGTATAAATTAAGTTTCCAACGTTATACATGCTTATAACATCTCCATCCTTGCGTATGTAACTTTTGTTTTTAAAAAATGAAAGTTAAATTAATTAAAAAACCCTTTTTATATATACAACAACAAAATTCGTTTTTATATTCAAATCACAGTAATAAAATTGCCAGATAAGTTATAAGAATTCTACTCTACTATCATATTATGCAACCCTCCTTCAATGGCTTTACGTTAGTACAGGCAGTTTATATTTGTTTGCATTTCTACTTTTTCTTTTTGTAAACAACTAGTATTATTTTTGCTGATTCATTAATAAACTTTTCATCTCAACAAAAAATATCGGCAAATAAATCTTTGATCCACTTAATAATTAGCACCGGCCTTATTAAGAAGTCAAAAGTGTTTGGAAATCCCGTTTTAATCTTTAGATAGAAACCCGCAAAATAGAAAATTTCCAAAACATATCAAATTTTCAAATTATTTGTATTATAAAAATACTAGGAATTCTTCTTTTAAAATTGCAAACAGTACTGATCTGTTCATATGATCTAAACATCATTAGTGACGGAAGTTTGAGTCTTTTTAAATCTACAAGATTTTTTTTATGAGCATTGGGTGTCTATACTAGCCGTAGCCTGACTAATCCAAGGGGTACAGAAATCATTCGGTCCACACCGAAATCCAAATGTCCAACATAAATCTAAAAGCTTACCAGTTGTAACAGTAAATTTTAATCTCTCACCAATTACCATTGTTTTTTGGTAAAATTTGAAATTTTGATATTGTTATAGCCTTTTTTTCAAAGATGGAAATACTCATCATCAACCCAAACGAAATATTCATAAATATTAAACAATTAAAACGTACAAGCTCAATATATATAACAAATTAAACAAAACCCATCGACTACATTATTTTTCTTTCAAAGTCGAATAGGTTGTTGGCTCACTCGATCCCTCTCATAACATATGGTTCATATCATTAGGCAATGGAGCTTATGTCCCTAGAAAATGAGTTCTTAAGAGGGTAAGAAGCTCGCATTGCGATACCACATAAGCCTCTTGGATTGGCAATGTTGCGAGCCATCTTCATGTAGCCAGCCTCTCCCCATGTGTTGCCCCGCGAATTTCTCACAATCCAATAGTCACGACCGTTCTCTGTTCCATACCCAATCACAACAACTCCATGGTTTAGGTTTGTTCCGCATGGTCCATCAAATATTCCCTTAGAGGTTGAAAAAAAAAAACAGTGCTTATGAACACATTTCTTTTAATATTCTAAACGAAACTTTCAAATACTCTTCTCTTTTTACCGATTCGTAAAGTTGAAACTCGCGGCTGCTAGAATCGATAATGGCTGTTACAGGCTGGTGAGCAACCGTTTTCATTAGAGCATATTCGTCGTTTGAAGGCAAATTCTCAAACCCATCAATCATAACATTCTTGTTGTTTTCCTACGCAAAAAAAAAAATATATATTTGAAATTGATTTTTTCTGGTTGTTGTTGATGATAGCCTTTCTATCTGAAATTGATCGTAACTCTACTGACCTTGAGGCGGCCATGGCAAACTCCATTGACAGCCTTGTAAGGATAATCGTTGTCGGTACCAAGACCGCCATTATTAACTATGAACTCATAGGCAGTCTCGACTTTACCTCCTCTGCAACCATTATTTTCTTTGTTACAATTGATCAAATCTTGCTCAGACAAAGTTACTAACTCTCCTGTCACGATCTTGTTTAAGCCTTCCACTGCCCCCACTGTCGAGAAAGCCCAACAACTCCCTTCACAAAAGAACAAAACATGCATGAAGATTGTATATTTTTTGGAGTAAAAGGTCAAAAATGATACTATTGGCTACTAGAAAAAACTATTTAAATATGTCAGCTTTAACAATCATTTTTAATTAAGACGGATTTAATTGTAATAGTAATCAGAATATCAGATAACATGTATAAGAAAAACATATTTTTTCTCGATAATATCATTATATAGAAGAAAAAAAGTTTTTTTTCATATTATTACAAAGCTGATGTGTAAGAAACATGCAGTCTAATAAGCCATGCAAAATGAAATGTGTCGAACCCATTTACACATTAAATCCATTAAATGGCAATTCAAAGGTACGTATAGTGTAAATTGTACATAGCCGGCTCTATATACCTGGTTCTTATCTCAACTCAAGTTATCCTCACCAACTTAAAAATAAAAGACATACATCATCATATCTTGTGAGATCCATTTATATACTTTTTGGACTAAAATGTCAAAAATATAATGGTTACTAGTAAGTGTCGATTCCTAGTCTCACCCAACGCTAACGTCATCAAATCCGGTGAGTACATATTATGATAAAGATTTTTTTTTTCTTTATTACTGTTAGTTAATATCAACGGTAGGATTTAAAACCACAATACTTACTGCAAAGGCCTTGATCTTTGACTTCAGTCACTGCGCCTTCGTTCCTCCAGTCAACGGACTTAGGAAGCACATCACCAACACTAGTCTTGTATCTGCCGCTGCTAGTCATGAAAACGTGGTTCTTGGGTGGCCTTGCATCAGCCCCGTGGCAAACTTGTCCGTACTCATGGAGAGATAGATCAGCAAACCGGGTCAAACCGAGTCGATAACTGCGATTCTCAGTATTCCGGTTAGTGATGAAACGGAGGTTGTCCTCGAAAATGGTTAACCGCCGTTCCTTCTCGGCAACGGTGTCGTACACTTTCCCATGTTTGACCATCCATGACTCGAAGATCAACACAGCCTCAGCGTCGAAAACGCTCAGGCTGCGGTCGGGACTGGTGGTCACGTGGTGGTCTTCGTCGTAGGAAACGACGGACATGTCCATGGCCGTGGCACAAGCGATGAGCATTGCTAGTAGGAGAATCAGCATGGCTGATTTAGCATTACCCATTTTCTTTTTAGGGTTTAGAACTAATAAAACTTAATTTGATTTGTGCTTGTTTCTATAAGTTAAATAAAGAAGAGAGGAGGAGTTTTTGTTCTGTGATTTTGGGTAAGACATGATAGTATTTATATAGTACGCAGTGCTCAGATATGAGAAGTAACAAATCATTTATTATAATCCAATGGAGTGAACAAATGGGCAGACCTACTGTTTCAAGCTTCAAGCTACGCGTGGTGAACATGTCTCATGTAACAAGACAAACAAGTAAAACCTTTAAAAAAAAAAAATCCTAACCACACATATCTTTATAATTTATTCATTTTGTTTTCAGTGCCAAAAAACTATTCCACGTTCAAAATGTGATGGAATCTCAGTGGGAATATATGCTACTCGTTTTACCTTCAATTGGTTTTGAGATAAAAGTTAAATGAAATTTATCGTAGTATTATAATTCAATCACACACATTTCCCAATCCATCCGGCTCGAAAATAACCTGATCTGGACCCAAAATCTGTTGAATCCAAAATTTGTCCGAGTGATCTAAACCCAGAATTAAGCTCCATAGCCTATCTTCCGAGTGATCTAACCCAAAAATAATAGTTATCTTGGAGGGTTATAGTGTCTATCTTCATACAAGAAAGATTAATCTTCATAGCCTATCTTCTGAGTGATCTAAACCCAAAATTAATTTCGAAGGGATAAATAGTGTCTATCAATCTGCGAAATAGTGTCTTTTATTTTTACTTTTTATTATTTTGTTGGGCAAGCAAAATATTTGGTTGCTGAAACTATTTCGCGGATTAGAGCATCTCCATCGTTAAAAAATGTAAAAAACGTATCTAAAAAATATATTAATATTTTAATAAAATCTAAAAAAAAATAAGTTTCAGATTTTTTAAACTACTTATATGTAGACATGTGTCACTAGCATCTCTTAAAATCTTATAGAAGCATATTTAAAATTCTTTAAAATAAAATACTGGTTGCATGGAAACTCCGTCCGAGGTACGTTTCCCGTTTCTGAAACGTTTCGGAAACCGAAACTCTCGGAAACTCGTCGGAAACACGAAATCCTAAAAATTCTAATTTGGAAACATTTTGGAAACGCGTTTCCATTTCAGAAACACGCGTTTCCATTTTGGAAAGAAGATAAAAACTAATTTCTTGTTTTTATAGAACAAATAAATAATTATAAAAATTAAATTAAATAATAAATTTACTTATTTATAGTAAATAATAAATATTTTGATTTGGTAATTAAGATTAATTTTGAAATTACTAAGTTTGAAAATTATTCTCTGGATGAATTAGAATTAGAGATAGATTGGTTAATAAAACTAATAAAATTGATAATAAAGAAAATCTTCTAAATTTTTGACTTTACATATTTTAAATTTTATAGTTTAATAATTATGTAAAAATTATATATTAGATTTTATTGATTAAATATTCTACTTATAATTAGATCTTTAATACTTAATATATATATATATGTTTCCAAAACGTTTCCATTTCTATATTTTTTTAAAATAGCGTTTCCGCGTTTCGAAACGTTCCGTTTCCACGTACCCGTTTCCGTTTCCGTGCAACATAGGTTATTACTCTCTCCCTATCTTTTTTTTTATAATAATTTTTTATTGTTTAGATATCTGGTAAAAACTGCTGATAGACCACTCTAATATGAGGTTTTTAGAAGGATTCTTAATATTAAAAAAATTATATCAAATAGTAGAAGAAATAAGAGAAAGAAGTTTATAAAGTACACTAGATCAGAATCTATTCAAAGTTTTTAAAAAAACTCACTTATATAGTTGTTTTGTATTCATTGGTTTATTTTTTTTAAATATTAAAATTTAAATATATGTTAAATTATAAGAAAATAATAGTTAAGTTATTTTTAAAACTCTACCATTGCCCTTGAGGTTCTGTGAACTACCACGTTCTGAGCTAGAGGCCAAACGATTCGTCGATCTCCCTGAATGTGATCCATGTGTTGCGACCTGGTTGGCCCCACACAGGTGTTTAATATTTACCAAAAATAAATAATAGTATAAATTTTATAAGATAACAATAATATTTAATAGTTACTTGACTCGGCAGGTCCAATTATTATGTCTCTCAATCATTCATTCAATTTATTTTGACAACTAGTGTTACAAGCTCAGACAAAAAGAAATTTGAACTTTTTGTTCCAGATCATTTATATAAGAACGTAAAAGAATTAAATAGTTACGGGCAGAGTTTAGTGGATAATCTGAAACCAATTAGTTACATATAATGTGTGTATTTATCTGTAAAGAGCTACCACCAAACTTGAAAGCTATATTCGTAGTCCATCTCAAGTACTGAACCGAAAATTGGTTCAGCGTCAAAAACGCTCTGGTGGCAGCCGGAATTGGTGGTCACGTGGTGGTTATCGTCGTAGGAAACGACGGACATGTCCATGGCCGTGGCATAAGAGGCGATGACCATTGCTAGTAAGAGGATCAGTAATGCTGATTTAGCACTACCCATTATTTTTTGGGGCTTAAAACTAATGGAACTTTGATTTGTGTTTATTTATATAAGTGAAAAAGAGAAGGAGAAAGAGGAGTTTTTATAGTACTCAGAGTTCAGATAGATAACAACTGGTAAATAGAAATAATGCGTTAAGTAAACCACTAGGCAGGCTAATGAGATTCTTCTAACAATCGGCACTCTAGAGTTGGTAGAAAAAGATAAGTTTTTATTCAACGGACTGTGAAGCTACGAAAACAATGTGGATTGAATGGTGACACAGAAGCTGCAGAAGACTTCTGATTTACCGGCGGATCTGGATATTACGCACCAAAAGGGATCGACAAGCTTGCTGGATATGACGCACCAACAAGAGATGAATAGAAGATGGATCGAGAGATGCCACAGAGATCTGTGAAAGGATCTATGATAAGTCTAAACCAGTCATGAACATAGATATGACACACTATGAATATGAAGTTCCACAAATAACAAGATATCACATCTTGAAAAAGAGAAACTTTTCTGATTTTACTGAAAACAAAATTTATTTTTACTCATGATTTTGGATTTCTGTTTATAGAGAAATACAACTTATTTTCATCCTTAATAAGAGCCTATAGTATGCAGAGCATCTTGGAAGAACAAATTTGACTCAAAACTGCATGGAGAAAGAGAAGCAGCCATAATTAAATGCAGTCTTTGTTTGGACTAAAATCTATCTTTCTTGGTTGTTTTTGAGCTGAATATACTTTGCTAGGCTTTTCTCATGGACTAAGATTGTAGAAAGAGTCGGTTTGTAGCTTAGTTCATTCTGACCTGGTCGAAATCTTTCATTGAATGCGCGCAGGTCTAAATCCATTAAACTGGATATCACCTGATTTGTAAATTGCATAACTCCTTCATCCAAACTCCATTTGATTTGATTCTTCTTCGAGGGGCTCCGTGATTGAGCTGACCATATTCTTCAAGTGGTTTCAGATATTGAATCATCGTTATTGAGAAGATACGCTTCGAATAGTACACACATATCCTGATGCTTTCCATGATCATATCACAGGCCAACTGTTGCAAACGCCAATACAAATTTAGTTTTTTGTTATCTGTTTTTATCTAACAAGACGAAACAGCTAAAGCATCTTTCGATCATAGTTATTTTATTCAATTTTTTTTTTCATATATAACCATAAATATCTAAGACTAATTCCCATGGTTATAATGAAGAGCAGGGTATTTTTTGCAATTTAAAAACGTTTTCAGTGAGTAGTTATGATTAATATCATAACAGTACGTAAGACATTACAAGAAATAAGTAGCATAGCTACAAATTTTATTACATAAAAAAATAGTAGCAAAAATTTGTTATAAAATGATACAAACTAGTGATGTTATTTTTTTAAAAAAAATTTGTGGCAAATTGGTAAGAATTCGTAGCGCATCAGAGACAGATTAGAGACAACTGCTAAATTGTCGCATATATGTTACAACTTTATTACACAGTGATTGTAGCAATATTAAATACAACAATTTTGTAGTAAAATTGTAATAAAATATTACAATTTTTTTATAATTTAGGTGGTGTTACCAAATCCTTCACTACATAAAAACAACATCATTTACTAGGGGTGGACATTTTATCCGGATTCGAAAATCTGATCCGGATCTGATCCGAAAATATCCAATCCTTCACAATACCCGATTATATATAATTGTTACTAACTTTCGGGTATCAAGTAATATTCGGATCCGATCCGATATCCAAAAAATTATCCGGATCCAAATCTCTCAAATATAAATTAATTATTTAATTTAAATTATTATTTACATAGATACATATTTATTAAAAAAAATTCAATAGCTATAGTTTTATGAGTCATTTTTCCAAATAACCATATTAAACTATAAAATAAAGAATATAGCTATGCTATTCACATAATAAATTCTATAACCAAAACCCCTAATTTGTTTTCTTTTTTACCCCTCAAACCAAAACTACACCGAAACAACATGCTTTCATGTTATACTATATACACACAATCAAGAATAGTATGAATGTTAAACATCAATTTTAGTAAAATAGAACCGTATTAGAATTACCAATAACAAAAACAACCTCAACATATAAACATTATATACTACATAAGTACATATACTCAATTGAAAATAATATTTTGGTTCAATTTCATTTTATTAGAATTTGACACTAGTATAAATGAAATGTCCAAATATATTAACCCCTTATTTAAAAGCATTATTCCAAACTGACATATTCGTTAGTCTGCATAAATATATACAATTGTATATAACTATAAGTAATTAATATATGAAAAAGATAAATTATTAAGAAAATACAGAATTTAGCATTCTATAAAGAATGTATAAATATGTGTTATTCTATAAAAGAAATATAGAATAGAACTAGTTGTTTTTGATAATAAAATTTATCTATTTCTTTTTAAAAAATTATATCCGTTTCAGAAAATTTAAACTATAGTATATGTGGGAAAAATACACTTTTTAACAACTTAATCACTTAATCAAATTATTTTTGTTGACAAGACACTTTCGTACTTTCACTATTTGGTAATCGGTTGGTAATTTATTGTGCTTTTTAGTATTTGATAACAATCAAATAAATGACAGAAATAAAGTATCAAATGATATATTTTATTAAATAGGGAAGTATTAGAAAAGGGATATATATATATAATTATAATGTAACAATATGGAAAAGAAAAAAAAGAAATAGATAAAACAGAAAAAAAGAAGAAGATTAAACACACATAAGAAATATTCATCATTAGACCCACACGAAATATCCATAAACATTATTAAAACTCCAAACATTGACCCCCATACGTTGTTGTGTCCAAAATATATTACAAAGCCAAACACATTATTTTCCCTTCAAAGTCGAATACGTTGTTGTGTCACTCGATCGATCCTTTGCATGAGATACATTTAGTTTATATTATTAGGCCATGGAGCTTCTATCGGTAGAAAACGAGTTCTTTAGAGGGTATGAAGCTCGCATCGCGATACCACACAAGCCTCTTGGATTGGCAATGTTGCGAGCCATCTTCATGTAGCCAGCCTCTCCCCATGTGTTGCCCCACGAATTTCTCACAATCCAATAGTCACGACCCTTCTCGGTTCCATACCCGACCACAACAATTCCATGGTTTAGGTTTGTTCCACAAGTTCCATCGAAAACTCCCTTTACGGTAAGTCGGTAACAAAAACAAAACCAATGAATGCATATACGAACACAACTCTAAAAAATATATCTTAAGATTAATACCAAAAAATTCTATAAAATATTTTTTAATAAAACTTTACAGAAATCTTTTATTTTTACCGATTCATAAAGCTGAAATTCCCGGCTGCTGGAATCGATAATGGCGGTTATTGGCTGGTGAGCAACAGCTTTCCTTAGAGCAAGTTCGTCATTTGCAGGCAAATTCTTATATCCATCAATCACAACATTCGTATTGTTTTCCTACACAAATAGTTTTAATAATAAAAGATTTGAAAAATTGATGTTTTATGTTGTTTTTGTTAGAGATATATACACGATTGTAACTATACCGACCTTGTGCCGACCGTCGCAAACTCCATTAACAGCCTTGTAAGGATAATCGTTGTCGGTACCAAGACCATTGTTAACTATGAACTCAAAGGCAGTCTCAACTTTACCTCCTCTGCAACCATTACTTTCTTTGTTACAATTGATCAAAATTTGCTCAGACAAAGTGACTAACTCTCCTGTCACAATCTTGTTTAAGCCTTCCACTGCCCCAACCGTCGAGAACGCCCAACAACTCCCTTCACACAAGAACAAAGCATGCATGAAGATAGCAAATCTAGTTAAGATCGGTTTTTTGTTTCAACGAGAACTAATATGTTTTCAAATTAGGCTTGACCTAATTTTTTATTTTTATTTTTATTATAAAAAGGGTTTTCAAGGCTTGACCTAATTGATGAGACTTACATATCATGATCGAGAAATATACATCAGAAATGTTTAGTAAATAGTAGTTAAAACTTATTTAAATATTTTTAACAATCAATTTCAATTATAATGGGTTTACTTTGTAATAGTAATAAAATATAACATATAAAAGCAACATATTTTAAACTTGACAAATAAAATCACAGACAACAGATAAAGATTTGTGCTATTACATGTGCCTATCCCAATGCTGATGTGTAAGAAACAACAGCTCCATAACCCATGCAAATTGAAATGTGTTTAGTTAACTCCCTTTATTAATATGTGTTTCTTTACAGTGTAAATCAATGTTTTCATTGGTAACCCACGGAATGGCAGATTATGTTTTTAATGTTATTTTACAAATATGTTACACAAGTAAACATCTATTAAACAAGAGAATGTTACACAAGTAAACATCTATTAAACAAGAGTATGGATATTATATTTAAGTAGCTTTTCTCATCTCATGATAAGTGGTTTATACATTAACTTTTTCATTTTACTCACGCAAAAGAACAAATATTTAAAGAAAGTAAAAAATAATGGTTTACAATGAAACCATGTGACTTCTTTGGTAATATTTAAAATATATATAAATTCCTAATAATTAATATACTTTTGGTCTTCTTCTATTTTTAACTAAATAATAATTATACTGAAATTCAATATCAATATGATTTGAATATATATGATATATTTAGCTATTTTGTACGTAAATTAATCCAATGGCACAAACAATTTCAAATCATGACTTTATATTTAATATGTAGATTTCATCTTGATCTGCAACTTTATTAATTTATTTTCTACTATTCTACGATAACGATTACATAGTGTTAGTAATCAGAACTCAAACTTTATTTTTTGATGAAGAGATAAAAATAGCAATTCAAGCGGAATGTAAATTGTATATAACTGGTTCTTATCTCGAATCAGTTTATCCTCTACAACTAACACCAAAGCGTTAATGTTTTACTTTTCAAGTGTTTTTAAAATTTTAATAATTCAATTATTAATTCAATCTAAATAAAATAGTGAAATAGTTAGACCAAACGGATCGGATTTAAAATCACTACACTTACTGCAATCGCCTTGGTCTTTGACTTCAGTCATAGCACCTTCATTCCTCCAGTCGATGGAATTAGGAAGCACATCACTAACACTAGTCTTGTATCTGTCGCTACTAGTCATGAAATCGTGGTTCCTAGGTGGTTTTGGATCAGCCCCGTGACAGAGTTCATTGTAGTCATGGAGAGATAGATCAGCAAACCGGGTTAAACCGAGTCGGTAACTGAGATTCTCAGCGTTCCGGTTAGTGATGAAACGGAGGTTGTCCTTGAAAACCGTTAAACGCCGTCCCTTCTCAGCAACGGAGTCGTACACCTTCCCGTACTTGACCATCCATGACTCGAATATCAAAGATGCCTCGGCATCGAAAACGTTGGGGCGGCTGGGATCGGTGGTCACGTGGTGGCTATTGTCGTAGGAAACGATGGACATGTCCATGGCCTTGGCACAAGATGCAATGACCATTGCTAGTAATAGGATCAGCATGGCTGATGTAGCACTACCCATTTTTTTTTTGAAAAAGTAATGAAACTTTGATTTGTGTTTGTTTCTATAATTTAATTAAAGAAGAGAGGAAGAGTTTGTGTTGTGAATTTTGGTTAACGCATGACAGTATTTATAGTACTCTCAGAGCCCTGAAAGTAACGATCGTTCACTAAAACTGTATAACATGTCCACTGGAGTGAACAAATGGGCAGACCTACAACTAAAACATCTATCATTAATTAAAAAAAAAAAAAATCCCAACCACACATTCTTTTATAATTTACTCATTCTAAATTTTAATGCAAAAAAATATTCTATATTGAAAATATACTTCGGACGATATATATATATAAAAATTGAATATTCTTATTTTTATTGGTTTTGAGTTGACATCTCATTAAACCTAGCACGGTATTAAAATCCAAATACACGTTGCTTGACGTGAACTAAGAAGTGATATAGCCCAAAATTGTCCGATCAAAATCCAACCCAAGATTAGACTGACCGACATTATCCCAAATTAATCATGCCGATATAATCCAAAATTAACCATATAATGAAATAATATTGAGATAAATGGTTAGAATTAACGGTCATTGTCTGAAAAACATGTAAAAGATTATCCCACAATTGATAATATTACTTATTGTCAGTTGAGATTTTAAGTTAGAAACCCATAAAACTTAATATTTAATAGATAATCTAGACTAATTCCTAAGATATATGGAAGAGCCTAGTAATTTTTTTTTTGTTATTTTCTGCAAATGAAAGTGTCATCAAACCAAATCTCAACATTAATGATGCTTCACTGAAAACCAAAAAATATATATATTCTTACTTGACAAATATACCTTATATAATTAATATAAATAATAAAAATATACAAATATATTTCAATTTACAAAAATCATATATATAAAACTAAATTAATAATAATACTTTCATTATGTGTATAGCACGGGTGGTAAGCTAGTTATGATTAAAATCACAATCCGAAAAACTTGTTGAACTCTGGTTTCTCAACACATACAAATTATAAAAAGTTCAAAACAACAAAAAAAACATCCAAATTAAAATTTTCATTCACTTGACCATTATAAATTGATTTATTCATTTAAACTATTCCTTACATATATAATTAGAAGTGAAAATATTTTTTGATAGCTAATTGTATTGTATCACAAATACTTACACATCATACGATTCAAGTAATGATTAAGAAGTAAAGGCCAGATATCTTTAGTTAATTTGGCAGACCCCCAAAAAAATATCAATGCACATAGAAGTATATATAAGAAAACAAAAATCGAATTTTCCTTTCAAAATCAGGAAAAACATTCAAACTTTGTCATTGAGAGCGTTCTTGAAACCATAGTTACCACAACCAGACCCCATATCTCACCAAAATTCACCAGATAACAATCGCTTACATGATTCTTTTTTTCAAATTCTCTTCTTATTTCTTGTTGGCAGATTTACAGAGATTCTTGTTATGGGTTTTGAATTCTTAAACAAGCCGTTTCTTGGGATAATAGAGATTGATGTTGATGGTATTACTGTGTGTTTACAAACCAAAAGGTGTTGGTTCACTTGGTTGCCTATCAACAAGTGGGATTACACTAAAAAGCAGATAGGATCATGTACATGCTAACAAATATAAAGACCATATGAACGCTCTTTTACTGGTGGCAATTCTTGTAGCCACTGTTACATTTGCTGCAGGTATCACAATCACAACACCAGGTGGCTTAACAGCTCTGCTCCAAACTTGGGCACGTGTTCATATTGGCCAAAGACCAAACTTGCTCTCAACATTTTTGTTGTTTAACGTTGTGGCGATGCAAAGCTCAGTCATAACAATAGTTGCTCTTATCTGGGCACAGTTGGCTGATCTTGCAATCTTACACAAAACTTTCCATTTGGCCTTCCTTCTCTAGTTATTGGCGTGTCTTTCATGTCATATGCATTTCTTTTGGCATACAATAGAGCAAACAGCTTGCTTAAAATGGTCATAACATTTCTCTTAGAGATCTTCTATTATATAATGGGTACCGTAGAAAAACAAACTTACTAATTTTTGGATTCTCAAAATTCTTTCCCTTACCAAAAGAAAAACAAACTTACTAATTTAACTTTCAACTTTTTCAACTCTATCTCTCAAATGAGATTAAGGCATTTTGGCTATCCATTTCAAAATTGTTGAAATAGTGATTTAAGGCTCTGTGATTGTATAAAGTGGCGAAGTCACATGAAGAGCATGAAGAGCAGTTGTCCCTGATTTCTTTATTTGGTGTTATTTTGCTTTGATCAAATTTTATGATTCTAATATGTTTTTGATTTTACATGCTCTGCGCCCATAAAAATTGATCCTAAATCACATTTTATTGTTCTAATATGTTTTTGATTTTACATGCTCTGCCTCCATAAAAATTGATCCTTTGATTGAATGGAGAAAGAACAAGAAAATATGATTGTAAAGAAAGAAAAAAAGTTCTGTGAGCTACCACGTTCTAAGCACCAGGAGGCCGGACGATTCATCGACCTCACCCAATATAATCTTGCTTGGCATGATATCCATGTGGTGCGATCTGCTTTGGCCATGCAAGATCTTTGAATCCTGCTCACCCCACACAAGTTTTTTAATATTTTCCAAAACATAAATAATGATATAAATCCTATAAGAAAACATTAATAGTACATTCGACCAGTCCTTTTATGTTTCTCAATAATTTATTCAATTATTTCGACAACTAGTGTTACAAGCTGCGACACAAAAACCCAAAATCAAAATTAAAATTTTTGTTCCAATGAATTTATATAAATCGTAATTTAAATAGTTAGGAACAGAGTTCAGGGGGCAATCTGAAACCAATATTAGTTAAAGATCATATTATTTCATCTTTAACAAGTTGCCACGAAACTGACAAGTATTGCACCGACATTTGATGACATTTAGTCGCAAACTACCCACACACACAAAAAAAACAGTCCTTCTTTGTTCAAGCTATATGTCTCAAATTACAGAAAAAAATAGACACTTAATATGTAGCAAATAGCCATTGACACTTAATAATTTGCTAGTTAGTTAGTGAATATTAGAGGAAATATTTGTAGCCACTTGACCACCGACACACATTTTTGTATCAAAATTCATATGCATTTTCCGTTGCCGCTGATTTGTTGTACGACCAATATGTGGTCCATAAGTTACGAATCTCCACAAATATGATGATAGCCACTGTCCATAATTATCTGTGGCCAAACTGTTTTTAGTAACGATTTATTTAATTAACTATCAGATGGATAAATATGCGGCTATAAATGTGGATTCCATGTGGTAATTATTCGTCAACCGTTTTCAATTTGATTATAAAAATAATAATTACCTACTCAAATTTCAATAGACGATACTGATACAGTAAAGTACTATTGTCCAGTAAACTCTACTCCCTCCCTTTCACGTAGTTTGATATTTTAGGATTTATTTTTGTTTCAAAAAGTTTGAATTTATAGATTAATTCAATGTATTCCTTTTTTTCAAAAATACTTTATTTTTTAGGAGATTATACATTAACAATTAATACAAAAAATAATTAAATAAAAATTATTTTAAAAAAATTATGGTTACTTCTTAAAATTTGTAAAAAAATTACAAAAATCAAATATTAAAGACTATTATTTATCGTCAGCAGCTCATCTGGGATTAGATGACTTCACTGCATGCATATGAATCAGACACGTAATGAGCGCCGGTAATTTGTTTTTGAAGAAATAATTTGTTGAACTTTTATTTGTTCATGACTATTCTTAGTGTATGTCGCATCTTGATGATTCAGGTTTATTATATCAGACAAATGTGATTTTACCACCAACTCTTATATATCTAGGCTACTAGGGATAGGGATGGGCGTTCGGATAACATGGACCCTGTCGGGTTAGTTCTTTCGGATACCGGGTTTTTGGGTATAGAGCTGAAGATCTTAATTAGGTATTTTAATTTTTGGATCGGGTTCAGATACTTATAATTCAGAATCGGGTCAGTTTTTACATTGTATATAAAAATTGATATTAATCCAAAAAAAAATCGGTTACAAACAGGTCTGGTTTGATTCTCGAGTGTTTCGGTTATATATATCTAAATTGTAACCAAACGTGCTAAAAAATAATCTAATTAGACAAATAATATCCGAAATCTAAGATGATAATTGGTCAAAATAAACACTAAAATCAGTATCAAAGTATGATTCAACCATTCATACAACTACATAAAAAACCATGAAAGAAAAAATGCCCGAATAAGATTTAAAAAATCAAAATAAAACTCAAAGTTCAAATAGAATGTGAAAAAGTTATTAAAGATTGCAAATGAAGAATTCCAAAGCACCTTCTTCATTTTTCTGTAACATCAACATTATATTACATCAGAAGTAATAATAAGCAAACTATGAATATAATATGACAAAAACTGATAAAATAATAAAAAACAATTTGTTATCTTATATCCGATTTGTCAAATGATTCACTTCATTCTTCTCTTATTATTGGAGTGTCATACTCTAAAATAGTCAAGAGAACCAGATTAGTAAGACACTAAAAAATGATTTAAAATAGAAAATAGTAGAAAAAATATTACCTCTCTTAAGCGTGTCTTCATATTCAAATTCTTCCATGATTTGTTCCTTTGTAACCACTTTTGATTCATTAAACCGAATTTCTACTTTCAACCACTGCTCTGTGCACATCAAAACCTCAATCATATAATGAGTTAGACAACTCCTATAAGGAGTAATGATCCAACCACTAGTGCTAAAAGCACTCTCAGATGCCACAGATGACACTTGCATTGCAAGTAAATCCCGAGCCATTTCTGCTAAAATAGGAAATTTCCCACTCTTTACCTTCCAATAAGAGAGTACATCATACTTTGTCCCTTTCATAGTTGCACCTTTCACAGCACTCTCCTTCAAATATATGTCTAATTCATCTTTGTCTTGGACTCCTATTTCATCGACCATGTCATTATACATGAAATCCATCATTTCATACCCTAAATCATCATCCACAAATACCAATTTCTCTTGTAATTGTTGTGACTGTGACTGTGATGTTGTT